AGGGGCGCCCAGCGGGAAGGGGCGTTTCAATATCGTTTGCAACCCTATCCTAGAATACCTTCCGCCGCCACTGATATATATATATATATATATATATATATATATATATATATATATATATATATATATATATATATATATATATATATATATATATATATATATATATATATATATATATATATATATATATATATACATATATATATGACATGTGTAAATTGCAAAGCGTCATTGGCATGTTTTGCAACATCACAGGCGGAGCTAGAGGCTTGCAACTATCCCTATGTAAACGCGGCTGTTATCCGCGGCTGCCAGCAAGCCACGCGGGCCGCCACTCAGGCGAACGGTGGCTCGCGCCCTGACCTCGCCTGAGGGGCCGTGACGTCAGTGTCACCGGCCGGCGTTCAGAGCCAGCCGGCCGAGCCGCAGTCTACGCAGCGCGAGCGAGCAGTGAGGGCCGGCGGCGGGCGCGGCTGAGATAGCTGGAAGATGAAAGATAGCGCCAGTTGTCTGCGTTTGATGCGATTGTGGTAAGTCAAAGCACCATTTACGAGTAGCATTTGCAAGATTGTGCCTTGTAATATCGTGCGGTCTAGGCTATAGTTCATTGTAGCTCTAGCCTCTAAGGTGTTGACATGTTTGATTTAGGCTGTCGCACTGTTACGGAAAGTGGTGCAGGTATTTTTGTGATTTTTTTCATGAATTGAATGTCTGATTTTCCCTCATGTCTTCCCGCAGACGTCCTGCAACTCGTCAGCGCGCCTTGTGGCAGGCCTACTGTCGGCAATGCGGTAGCGAAGTGGCTGTCCGGAAGCTGCGACCGGAACGGGGGTGCGCAGACCGTCTGGTCAGGCACTGCCAGCTGCCTAGGGACATCGAGGCCGCAAATGAGCCGGTGCCTAACGGTCCGCCGAGTGATCCTCCCAGCGAGGGTTAGTGAAGAAGTGAACTTCCACCAGTTCTGGCGTGCTAGCGGCTAGCGCCAGAGCCGGTAGAACCCAATTCCGTCCCACGCCCCCATGGGGGCGCCCCGGCCCCATGTCCCATCACCGATGCCGCCGCCGTCGTTTTTTTTTTTTGTAAATTGACCTGTATGATATATTTATTGAAATATACACTTCTTACATGCCTTTTTTTACAAGTCTAGAGAACGGGAAGAGAGCGTCGGAAACACATTCTGAGTATGTTGCGAACACGTTGAGAGGGCGTTGCGAAAATGTTTAGGACGTTTACTCAGGGTCGCAGGGACGGCAATACGAAGTAGCGACAACGTGGTGCGCACGTGATAAAAACGTCGCAGAGACGTTGCCAAAGCGTTCTATACTCCTTGTAGTCACGTTGCGGAAACGTGGTGACAACGTTCCAGAAACACTGTTGGTACGTTACAGAAAACATTTCATAACGTTGGCGGGACGTTGTAAGAACAGTTTTGGGACGTCACGGCTGTAGTGTCTGAGTGTATTAAGTGCCGTGCCGGCCTGTCCGCACTGTAGCGAGTGGCGCCCCGCCCTCCTCTGTGATCACGTGATCTTGTGACCGCCGACCAATTCCTGGCCGGCTGGAGCAGTCGGTGCCGGGCAGCCAGCCAATACAGGCCTATCGAGGACGCGGACTTTACAGTGGCGACGAGGCAACCACTCACAGGCGGCGATGACCAACGAGAGCAAGGTGACCAGCCCTCCTGGAATGTCGGCTATTGGCATCGGTGAATACCAGGCGAGTACAGATTGGCAAGAATATGTCGAAAGATTTGAATTTTCTTGTTTTGCACAAGGTATCACTGAGGATGAGCGCAAAAAAGCCTTATTACTTGCATCTGTTGGCCAAGAAACTTATACGAGCATCAAGTCAGTTTTGTCACCGGCATCACCTGTTGGACTTCCATATGTGGAGTTGTTGGAGCGAGTGGGTCGGCATTTAGCACCTAAGCAATCAGTGATACTCAGCCGGTTTAAGTTCAATCAGTGCATTCAGGAACCTCATCAGTCAGCTGCTGATTACGTCGCTAACCTCAAGAGATTGGCCGAAAAATGTGATTTTGGTCAGACTTTGGACAGCATGCTTCGTGACAGACTTGTGTGCGGGGTCAAAGACTCCGTGTTGCAGAAGCGGCTTCTGGCGGAGGAGGACTCCCTGACGTTCGTCATGGCCGAGAGGTTGGCGTTGGCGGCGGAGTCGGTCACCAGAGACGTGGGTCAGCTCGCGGCGGGCCGTGCCGTCGGTTCGCTGGAATCTGAAGCGGTACACCGCGCCGATCAGCTGATTTCTGACCGGCAGCGCGCCGGTTCCGTGACCGGGTCAAGGTCAGTGGGTCGCGGTCGAGCCGCGGCGGCCGCCGGGTCGCGGCAGGCTGGCCGGCCGGGGCGGGGGACCGGTGACCGACCGGGAGGGTCCGAAGCAGCCGACATGAGGCGGCGTCAGGACTGCTATCGATGTGGTGGTATGCATAACCCACGGAACTGTCGATTCCGCGACTATCACTGTCATAGCTGCGGTGAGCTGGGGCACCTGAAACGCAAGTGTGTTCGAAGTGTCCATGCTGTAACCGACCCTCCTGCAGTTCAGAATGATGACAGTCAGAGTGAGTCAGATGTTTGCAGTATCTACTCTGTTGGCCGCCCCAAGTGTCCCCCGATCACCGTCGAGGTACTGGTTTTCGGTGTCCCTGTGCGGTTTGAAGTTGACACCGGGGCTGCTAGCACTCTGATGACCGCCGAAACGTTCCGGAATGTGTCGGACAACGGGGGGCATGGCGGGCTGACGCTCTCCAGGTCAGAGGCGAGGCTGCGCTCGTATACGGGAAACGCCATCCCTGTCATCGGTGAGTTCAGCGCCGTTGTGAGGTACGAAAGCCAGCATCTGGACCTGCCCGTTCTGGTCGTCGAGTCACACGGGCCGAATCTGCTGGGCCGTGATTGGTTGGCGACACTGAAGCTTGACTGGCGCGGCATCAAGCAGGTGAGAAACCTGGGTGAGTCACCTGGCGATGTAGTAGGCAAGCTGAAGGCCAAGTACAATGATGTGTTTTCAAAGGAGCTGGGATGTTTCAAGGATGTCGAAATTTCTTTTGACGTGGACCAGACTGTGTCGCCCCGGTTCATGAAAGCACGACACCTACCCTATGCTTACAGGCGCCGGGTGGAGGAGCAGCTTCAGGCGGAGGTGGAAGCCGGTGTCCTAGAGCCGGTGAAGTCGTCAGACTGGGCCTGCCAGATCGTTCCAGTCTTGAAGCCGGACGGTAAAATTCGCATTTGTGGCAACTTTAAACAGACGGCCAATCGGGCTATCCGTGTCGATAGATACCCATTACCTCGAGTTCAAGATCTGTTCGCACAAATGTCTGGGGGAAGAGTTTTTGCCAAGTTTGATTTGTCCCGTGCCTACCAGCAGCTCACTGTGTCCGAAAAGCAGAGATATCTGCTAACCATTAACACGCCAAAAGGCCTGTACCGCTACAAACGTGTACCGTTCGGGATAAATGCAGCCGTGGGACTCTTCCAGAGGGAGATGGAGAAGCTGCTGGCCGGTCTGCAGAATGTGTTCGTCTTCCTGGACGACGTGCTCGTCTCTGGGTGCGACGAAGTGGAGCTGCTGAAGACTGTGGAGGAGGTGCTGCGGCGGTTCCAGGACGCTGGCGTCAAGGTGAGAGAGGACAAGTGTAGCTTCTTCGTGCCATCAGTAGAATATCTGGGACACGTGATTAGCAAAGATGGTGTTCGGCCAACCCAGGCCAAGCTCGATGCCATTTTCGGTGTCCCGACGCCAAAGAACGCAAAAGAGCTGCAATCATTCCTTGGAATGGTAAACTACTACTCAAAATTCATGCCAGGTCGCGCTCACGTGCTTAGCCCGCTTTTCTCCTTGCTGAAGAAAAATGTTGGATGGACATGGGGAAAACGAGAACAAAATGCGTTCGATGAGTGCAAACGACTGCTCGCCTCCGATCGCATTTTAGTGCATTATAACCCAGATGTACCCCTGGTACTCACCTGCGACGCGTCCTCCAGGGGCATCGGCGCTGTGCTGTCGCACCGGTTCACAGACGGCACAGAAAAACCGGTTGGGTTTGCATCTCGATCCCTGAACTCTGCCGAAATTCGGTATAGCCAGATTGAGCGCGAGGCATTGGGAATTATCTTCGGCGTTACTGCGTTCCGTGAGTACTTGTACGGACTGCCCTTTATCTTGGAAACAGATCACAAGCCTCTTCTAGCTTTGTTTGGGGAGACGAGAAGCATGCCAGAGATGACCAGCAGCAGGCTAAAGAGGTGGGCTCTTCGACTGTCAGAGTTTTCCTACACTATTCGTCACAAATCTACTCGTGACATTCCTCACGCCGACTGCCTCAGTAGACTGCCGACGGGCTCGGCATTAGACATGCCCGTCAGCGATGATACAGAGGCAGAAAGAGTGCTCCTAACGACTCAGTTAGAGGATATAGGAAGTCTGAGCCCAGAAAAATAGGGAATGATGACAGCACGAGACCCTGTTCTTTGCAAGGTGGTTCGCTGCATTAGGACTGGTTGGGCACGCGAACCGGGCGATGAATTGCGGCCTTACAGTGCCCGTCAAGCTGAGCTGTACGAGCTAGGCAATGTCATCATGTGGGGTGACCGTGTAGTCATCCCACCAAAAGCCCGCAGCACCGTCTTAGCTGAGTTGCACGCCTGTCATTTCGGTGTCGTAAAAATGAAATCTATGGCTCGGTCCGCAGTCTGGTGGCCCGGAATTGATCGAGATATAGAGCAAATGTCGTCCGGATGTGATATCTGTCAGCTCCACCGTCCCGATCCACCACAGGAAGAACTCCATCCATGGGAGTGGCCGCAGCGTCCTTGGTCTCGCCTGCATGTTGATTTTGCTGGGCCTGTGCGTGGAAGGTACTATCTGGTGTTAGTTGACGCATTTTCAAAATGGATTGAGGTTGAAGAGATGACGTCGATCACTGCTCAGGCTACGATTTCTCGTCTCACTGCCATATTCAGTCGTTTTGGGCTTCCTGACATGATAGTGTCAGACAACGGACCTACTTTTACCAGTGAGGAATTCCAGACTTTCCTCACCAGAAATGCAATCGTTCACAGGACAACCGCTCCATACATGCCGTCTTCCAACGGGCTGGCTGAGAGAGCGGTGCGAGAGCTGAAGATTCGGCTCAACAAGATGTCAGCTGATCAAGTAAGTGATCGTATCTCAAAATGGCTGTTTTTCTACAGAACCACCCGGCATGCTACGACCGGTGAAACGCCTTCACGGCTCCTGCTGGGCTACCAGCCGGTGACGAGATTTGACCGCCTGAAGCCCAGTCTGGAGCGCAACGTCAGGACGAAGCAGTTCACCCAAGTTCAGCAGCACAAGAAGCGTCACCCTACCAGCCGGCCAACGCTGTCTCCAGGAGATATGGTGCTCGCTCGCTACTACCGTCAGGGTAAGGCATTTTGGCGTCCAGCCTCGATTGTCAGGTGCTTTCACCCGATGTTTACAGTGCGTTTCGACACTGGTGACATCTGTAAGAGACACATCAATCAGCTTCGCCCACGATCATGTCCCGCAGCGCGCTCGCGCGAGGGCGAGAACGATTCCGTGTCCTTGACGCGGGTGCCGACTTTTTCCCCCAGCCGATGTCGTGGATCCCTGGAGCCGAGCGACAGCCATCCGGACTCGCCGCGCCCTGGTGTGGGAGCGCGCTCTGGCTCCGCCGGCGGCTCGCATGCCGCTACGCCGCTGGACACTGCCCTGGCCTCGCCAGGAGGAGGCGCAGAGGCGGTGCGGCCTGCGTCCCCTGTCGACGTCGACGAGCCGGGGGACTCTGTTCGGCCGCCCGAGGACCGCCGAGCCGCGTCTCCCGCCCGCGTCGCTGACGGCGTGGGAGCGAGGGATGCCGATGGGGAAGAAAGGCGCTATCCTGTGCGCGTGAGGCGAGCGCCTGATCGTTTCGGACACTGATGTGCCGTGATTCTATCCGGTAGAAACCGTGACTGATTCAGTTAATTTTGTTTTGTTAACTCTGACCATTGACTCGTTCAATGTGTCATTTTGGTGTCGGGGAGGTGTAGTGTCTGAGTGTATTAAGTGCCGTGCCGGCCTGTCCGCACTGTAGCGAGTGGCGCCCCGCCCTCCTCTGTGATCACGTGATCTTGTGACCGCCGACCAATTCCTGGCCGGCTGGAGCAGTCGGTGCCGGGCAGCCAGCCAATACAGGCCTATCGAGGACGCGGACTTTACAACGGCCACGTTACAGAAACGTTGTGATGACATTCAAATGCATAGTCGGATGACGTTGTCACGCCGTTGTCTGGAGTCTACAAAATTACGTCGTCACAACGATAAATCGGGACGTTGTGGTAACCATTTGACAACGTTTAAACGACGTTGTAACAACGGCAAATTGTTAGCTGGGTACTGGGCTGATCGAGACGAAAACACCACCAGTCGATTCAGCATATGCGATTTCATCAGCCGTGTCGAATATCGTGACCTCAGGTGACCTCGGTGACCTTGGGAGGTCACATGACCGTTGACAACGGATAGCCCGCAGGACGCCTACTTACTGGGTGATCTGACATAGGACCTGACTCTACTTGCCCCACTTACGTTAATACCGTCATCTTTAGACTTTGATCAAAACTAGCATTGAAATTTATATTCAACACCCCCCACCCCCCAAAAAAACTATAATGCAGTCACTTTACGAATTTCTAGCAGGCCTGATTTTCCTGACTTTTGGGTTATTTACCTGAATTGGAAGGTCAATAATGACCTAAGACCTTTAACCCTCGCCGGCACAGGGGGGTTGATGCAACCCTCCCTAAGGTTTTTCGCGAATAGCTCGCGTAAAAAGCGGCCGATCGCAACGAAACTTTCAGTACCCTCGCATTGATCAATTTTACACCTACCCTGAAAATTTCATGACCCTGACCCCAATGACCTTTGACCTGTGACCTCTTTTCCGAGACCATGTTTGGCCGGAATCGCGATTCGGCGTATGTCGGCTAACATTAGCCGCGCGTTTGCAAGCTTTTTGTGGTTTCAAACTAGAGTTGCAAAGTTTCCCTACCGCATTACCGGCATGCCGGTAATTTTTCACTACCGCAGGTTTTTTGTGGTATCTGGTATGTCTTGCCGGTAGCATGCCGGTATTTTTGGTTTTGCACAAAAAAAAATTATTAGCATATGATTCAAACTTTGGACACTAAGAGGAAAATGTGGCATCTCTTGCAGGGGTAAACTGGAATCAACAATGCAGGTTTTTTAGTATGCCGGTAATTTGGTGGTGTTTTTGCTTTGGGCGTGGTAGCATGCCGGTATCCCTAAAAAAATTTGTGGGGCGGGGCGGTGCCGGTAGCAGCCTTTGGGGGAAACTTTGCAACTCTATTTCAAACGTTCAAACATGTGATTTGATGTCGCTCCCATACCTACATTAGTGTGGGTGTCAAGGTCACCTGAAGGTCAGGTCAGGTCATTGACCTTTGGTGACCTCGGGTGACCTCGGTTCACTTTTTCGAGTTTTAGGGGAAGCCGGGGGAAGCCCGGGCGCGGGGGAAGCCCGGCCACCCCGTTTCCGGCTAAATTATTCACAATAAAATGCTCAACTGTTTGTCCTTTCAGCGTGGCAGCTAAGGTAACGCCAGCAAAAAAGTTAAGGCTGACAAAAATTGCATATTGTTAAAGTTATAGCGCAAAAATGATATTTTAAGGGTTTTTAGCTAAAAAGTGAGATATGTTGCACTGTTAATGTTATACCATACAGTACTAATATTTATACGAATGTTATGTAAGGACCGTTTAAGTGTTTGTAGTGAGGGGTGACGAGGCAGGCTGGCTTAAGTATGACATTTTTTTCGAATATCGCTGTTCTAAAATAAAAATCATCACATTGGGGTAACCCCGGGCGAGTGGCCAAGCTTACCCCCAACCGAGAGCAATGCCACTAAACCACTGTTTTCCATGAGATAATAGGTACTGAGCAGGTTTGGTTTACACCTAGATCAAAGATAAATTTCGAGAATAAACATGTTATCATAGACAAGGCCAGTCATGTCACTTAAGGTCAACTAGGGTCAAACTACGTTTTTGCAGATAACGCGACAGACAATGAAGCTAAAGCTTCAAAAATGGTGTCGTTGTGTTCTTCTTCATCAGCCGAGTCGAATGATATGCAATATGATGCATTAACCCGCGCGGGGCTGGGGGGGGGGTAAATTTTACCCCCCCTCGCGAATTTTTGCGATATCTCAAAAACGGCGGCGCGCAGCGCCGCCAAACTTTCAGTACCTTTTTTTACATCAATTTGACACGTTCCCTGAAAATTTGAGCGAAATCCGTCGGAAAATTTTTGAGAAATTGACGTTTTAGTGACGTCATGTTCGCCATTTTCGCCTCAAAAACGGCAAAAGTTCAAACGCCGCTAACATCTTCATTTTTAAAGGAATCAAGACGTAACAAAAAAGGTTATACGTAATTTTACTTTGTCTATCAAATGGCTATCTCGGTTTTTTGAAAATTTTGGATTTTGGCCTAAGTTTTTTCAAAAAACTGACTTTTTTGGGAAAATCATTATAAAATCCAAAATTTTGAGTCTATCGAAAAAACCGGAATATATGTCAGAGAAGTGGTCTATGTGCACCTACATACCAAATTTTAGAAGAATCGGTTCAAAAATGTGGGAGTTATTCAAAATTTTATGACGTCACGACACACAAATTTTTTGAAAAATGACTTTTTATGAAGTTCTAGACCTTGTACGGAAACAAAAATAGCACCATTCGATTCGCCGTGAAAAACTGCATCAGATAGACACCTTTTTAGGCCTTAACAACCAACTTCAAAATTTGACCTCACTTGACCTGACCTTGACCTGACCTCGACCTGAAATTCATCCAGAGGTGGTCCATATCACTTATTGAGTGTGCCTATTGAATTCTATGAGTAAAATGACCCATAAAACATGTGTCGCACATGCCCTTTTCTATATTTTGTTTTTTGGTGACCTGACCTGACCTGACCTGACCTTGACCTTGACCTCTGAATGATATTGTATGCAACGAATATTGTCTTGGTAGCCTAAGAACACGTTTTGGGCGATCAGTCTCAGTCCAAGACTCCATTCTTAGGCAACTACGGTGCAAGGCCGATACTGTAGGAACTTGCAATTTGTACCCTTGACCTGACCTTGACCTTGACCTCAAACTTAAAATTAAGTACATGTTTTTAGTAGTTCGTGATGAGAGCTTTCGATTGGCGTTTGAATTTTCCAAATCGGACCATTAGTTTGGGAGATAACAGGGGGGGGTAAAATTTACCCCCCCCAGCCCCGCGCGTTCGGCTGGAGACCCCAGCCCCGCGCGGGTTAAGGTAAAAAGAAAAATAAATTTTAAGGAATTTTGAAATACACATTTTTTGTCAATTTTGCATCACGATTTTCATCGACCTGTACTGTATATGTAGTAGACGCTAGCTAAAATACCAGTAGTGACATAAACTCTAAGATGTCCAGAGCTAATCAGTACCTTAATATTTCACTTTCCGTTAATATTTGGAAAACACATAATGGTTTCATCAACTCGTTGTAAAGCGCTGGGGAGGTGGCCGGCGTTACCCCTATGCCGGGCTTACACCAGAAAAATCATCACTTTTTTAAAACTCGATTTTCTCAACCTTATACTTATTCCACGAAACCGAATTTTTGGGAAAACACGGCCAATGAACTTAGCTAGCTAGCAGGATATCAACATTTTATACACCACGTATGGTATGTAATAAAAATGAAAAAGAGCTTACTATGCCGGGCTTCCCCCGGCTTCCCCTACATGTTTCTAGGCTAGTTTTTGGAGCTGAATTCGAATTAGGCAACCATTTGAACATTTACGAAGTAGTTTTGGTGCCTTCGTAACATGTTACGAAGTTGTCAGAGGCGGTTGACACGTATTACGAATACCCGTCACAGCCCCTACCGGTTGACCTGACCTGACCTGACCCGACCTCGTCTAAATGCTTAAAGACATCATCTCTGATCAAAACTAACACGATATTCGTGATCAGCACCCCGGAAAACCACATAGCAGCCACAATTTACGACTTTCTAACAGGTCCCGATTTTCCCGGTTTTCGGGTCATTGACCTGAACTGGAAGGTCACCCGATGACCTAGGACCTTAAAATTGGGTATCATCGGCTTTGTCTCGTGACGGGCAACACGCTCGTTTTTTCTGCGAAGCTCTAGCTCGATCAGGGGCCAAACGCGAGGGGGGGGGGGGGGGGGTCGTACCAACTGCCACCAACCGCAACCATACCTGTCAGGAGGCCCATAAATGTCGAGCGTGTTCAAATGGTTGCCAAATTCGAATTCAGCTCCAAAAACTAGCCTAGAAACATATAAAACCCTTGTGCCGTCGAAGGACGCAAAATGGCCTGTGCCGGCGAGGGTTAACCCGCGCCCTGCTGGGGGGTGTTTGAACACCCCCCTTGTGGTTTTTCGCAAATATCTCAAAAACGGCGGCGCTCCACGCCGCCGTTTTGGTACACCTTATCATACATCAATTCTACACATGTTGTGAAAATTTCAGACCAAGGTCATTCAAGGTCAGGTCACCAGGTCACTTGAAGTGACCTCACCTCATAAAAAGTTTCAATGTCTGTCATAGCTACACCGAGTGACCGATCGCTTTGAAACTTTCAGCGATTGCTACGAGCAATAGCATGTACAAAATGTATATCTCAGAATTTTGATATCGATGACCTTAGGTCAGGTCAATTTTGCGACCTCCCCATTATAAGTCAATGGGAGAAAATTGAAATGCGCCTCTTTTGGACGAAAGACATTATAAACACTCCCAAACACTGAATTACAAGTTGTTTAGTCACACTGAACATGAAAATGGTGTCCGTGACCCCTGTTTATGCCCTGAGGTCATCTTAGGTCACGAATGGTATCTAACAGTTTTTCGCAAATAACTTTTGATAGAGGCATGCTAGAGCGATGAAAACGCCTTAGATGTGTTCAGCTCGACGATACGGATCGACTG